GAGAGAGAGAGAGAGAGAGAGAGAGAGAGAGAGAGAGAGAGAGAATAGTAGGGTCGAATACGCTAATAGATTTTTAGTGAAATTTTTCTTGAAATAGACATTTTGGAATGCAACCCAGGTTCAAAACCTAAGGCCGGTATTCATAGTCGGATCTTATATTTAAGACCGTTTTAAATTAATCTTCAGATACTATACGGATCATTTCATTGGCTACGGAATATCTGAAGATAAACTTAAGACGGTTTTAAGCCAGCGGCACACGGTGCTGGATTGCTTGCTGGATGGAAGGAGAAGGGCATACTAGGTGGCGGCGGGACGCCGTGCGTTCGAAATCTGCGTATCTTTTTCGTTCCAGAAAGAAAAAAATATCGAGAGCGCGGTCCTGCTAGGCCGGGACTCGAACCCGGGTCTTTCGCTTGCCGGACGATTGCTCTAAACCATTGAGCTACCTGACGGTCCACGCTCACGACACTCTCCTCTTCCTAGATAACGCTCAGAGATGCCGTTCGGAAGCGTCATCTCTGGCGCGATCCCGAGCGCACGGCGATTACAGAGAGAAACAATGTTACTGTACCAAATGGTACAGCTGTCAGTCTCTCAAAGTCAAAGGTTGCTATCCTTTAAGACTTGCTGTTCATGTATGCCCGTCTCCACCGTTGCCCCTCCTCATCCGGTGCAAATAATACAAATAAGCCCCGGGGTCAATACCAATTTTTTGGCAGCCCCCGGCTGCTTGGACGCAATGTGCCATGAGGGATCCACCATAGAAGGAGGAGGGCATACTAGGTGGCGGCGAGATACTCTGTTTTGATTGATGCATTTTCATCCATCTTCAGAAATGCACCAATCAAAACAGAGTATTTCCATCCAGCAAGCAATCCAGCACGAAAACAAGGACCGTGTGCCGCTGGCTTTAAATATAAGATCCGATTATGAATACTGGCCTTTGTCCCGATCCACAATAGGTGTAGTAAGTTTTAAGTTTTAAGAAATTGACTAATCACAGTCAAATTTAAGGAGAATAATCGACTGTGATTGGTCAATTTCTTAAGGTTTAAGCTTACTACTATTGTGGCTCAAGACTAAAGCGTCTTCTACAATGGCAGTAGGAGTAGTAGTAAGAAATAAGCAGTAAGTAAATAGACCAATCACAATCGATTATTTTTGAAACGTGAGAATGGAATTGGTCAATTTGCTTACTGCTTATTTCTTACTACTACTCCTACTGCCATTGTAGAAGACGCTTTATAGCTCCTGCATACAGGACGCGGTAATGCTTGCCGCGCGGCGGAAGTTCGCGCGACAGCCAATCAATATGCTGCTTTCCGTAATAACCTTCTAGCTCTTACGGAAAAACAAGCGTGCAGGAGCCAATAGGACGCGATTAACGACGAGCGATGAACAATATCGAATGAGAATTCCACTTTAAGAAGAAATAAGAATTCTCACTGGATATCGCTAATCGCTCGTCGCTAATCACGTGTTGGATGCAGCCATCCTAATATTTATTACATGCTTAGATTATGTTGGTCTGACTGTACCCGAAGAAGAGAATGTAAATCCTGAGAAGTTTTACTGATCAACAAAATACAGTTCATGAGGAAAATGCAACCAAAAGAAACAAAAGAATCAACCGGACACCATCAAATAGTAATGACAAAAGGAATAGGGGAAATTTTCAGAACAGTAAATAATTCATATAACATCATTAAAATGTGTAAAATCTTATTTTTAATTACTTTCTTTTATATTGATATATATCCAGTAAACATTACATGTAAATTAAAAGTTAGTTATAATTTCCTACTCAACAATGTAACTGTTATATAACACGTATGTTATATAACAGTTACATTGTTGAGTAGGAAATTAAAACTAACTTTTACATTATATGTAACGTTGTGTTTACTGGATACATTTATATAGAACACAGTTTTCTGCATAATCTTCAGATTATACTTAAGACTAATCTTAAGACAGAGATTCAGTATAATCATTGTTTATTTATAGAAAATCATATTAATCAGGATTGAAACCATTACTCTTAACAAAATAATACCGTACATAACATCAATGTGCACATCTTGATGCAATGAAATTGTTTGATTGGAAATTTCAGCTCATAATGATGTTATAACGACAATACACCTGTGACAAAGCGAACATTTGGACGTCACCATGACATTGATATTACTTCATTGTGACAAACGTGACCTTGATGTTATGTAGGACATTATCGTTATTTGTTACTCATAAAAAATAATTCGTTATCAATATCATTACTTAAGAAATAATACATTTATTGCTACAATTTCTATACTTCTTCGACATTTGTCAAAGCTGTTTTTACTTTTTAGTCCAAACAAAAATAATTTGTAATAAGTTACTTACTTTCCAATCCTGATACTAACAGCTTTAAATCATGCTTGAATTAATCTGAATATAAGAATCGGATACTATGCTATGAGCGCATTATATGTAATGTGTAAAATGACTCTTAAGATATTAGTTTTATTACTTATATGTTATTTTACAGGAAAAAGTAAGGAACGAATTGATGTGCAATTACAAAAAGCACGAGATAAATTTTCACAGATCGCTGAAAGTCATGCTGGAGCTTTACAAGTAACATATTTCTTACTTAAATACTGCTTATACAACAGTATTAAGTCTTAAAGAAATAACTTTTAGACATCGTTTGGACATGCGTTTTATGTGGCTGTACATTATTCGGTTTAGCTTGTAAGATTGAAATATTGAACAATGGAGAGAATAAATTCATCTAAAAGCATTTTTATTATATATTTGCCACGAAAGATATACTATATTAGTCTTCAAGGAATAACAGTTGTCTATGTAATAAAATTTTGTTTCTTATTAGGTATTAGCAGAAGCATCGATGAAACAGGCTGATGCGTCATTATTAAGAGCCCAAACTGAAAAAAAGCGACTTCAATTCGAGGCACAACGACTTACCTTAGAAGAAAGAAAAATTCGTACTGATGAGCAACCCATTCAAGTGATACATAACTTGCAAACGGTTTTGGATGAGTTGTTACACAAATAAATGAAAATCATATCTTCATATATGTATTATATAACGATATATTTATATTTTACTATACTATAGTAATATATTAATAAAAAAACAATATATTAATAACTTTGATCATATTTGTTTAATCATATTTTATTTTATTCGCGTATTCAATATTTATATTACAAATAACAAAATAAAAAATTGAACGACGAAGATATTAAAATATGTTACATTCTCACGAATATTGCCATATTCATGAGCGATAAAACGTTCCTGTATACAAGTAGCGCGTGCCTGTCCTTGAAAGAGGTTGCCTCTATCATCCTGTTCAACCGCCATATTAGGCCTATTTGCGTGTCGATATGCTTCTACTTCATTAACATCAACTTCCACATCTAGCAACCGATTCGCAATCCTAATATTGTGCAAAACAGCACATGCATTTACTATTTTGCCGGCCATGTCTGGTTCATACATCAAACGTCTTTGCGCTGACAAACATCGAAATATAGCTTTCCATGTACCAAATAATCTTTCAACACAACATCTGGCGCTACATAACTCCTCATTATACTGAAATCTTGATGTGTTTGGTTGTTCATGTTTCAAGGGAGTCATTAACCACGGTTCGAGACTATATCCATCATCACCTATAAGAAAGAAAAATATTAATTTCCATTACTTATCCATTATACATGTTACTTACCTATACCTTTATCTACATATAAGTATTAAATATATAGTAGTAATATATAGTTTTAAACTTACCAATCAACCAAGTATTACGTTCTCCATTATTGAATTTTCGCTCCATTATACGGCGTACTGGTGAATTTGACCATATGTACGCATCATGTCGTGCGCCAGGATATCGTGCATTTACATTTAAAATTTTCAAATCAGGATCACAGATCTACAAGTATACACACACACACACACACACATACACACACACACACACAGTATTTATATAAAATATAAATCGTATATTATATATATGACATGGAAAACTTACGACTTGTGTATTGATTGTGTGATCACCCCAGTGATTAACATAAGCTTCTTCATGTTGTATCCGACCTTTTATATTTATGTATGTACAATCTATAGCCCCAATAGCGCCAACAAATGGTTGTGGAGCTAATCTGAATTTTTCTCTAGCATGATGACGTTCAATGTCCGTCATGGGAAATCTAACCCATTGTCGCAGTAAAACATTATTAATTGCATTAGTCACGTGGCGTATGCAACGGCTGACGGATGGTTGACTAATCGCAATATCCCACTGTTCACCGATTGCTCCTTGAAAGCAGCCAATAGAATAAAATCTGAGTGCTGTTAAAATCTATACAAAAAATAATTATTATTTTGTGACACAATTATAAAACGATATAAAGAAACTGATTATCCTACGAAAATAGAATTTCCTTAATTATTTTATAATGTAAAGATACATTTCTATACACACACACACTCTCTCTCTCTCTCTCTCTCTCTCTCTTTTTCTCTCTCTCTGCTAATAAACTGGTGGAATTTTTCTTACAAAGTATATATATGTTAAAGAAATATCTTAATATGATATATATCTATCTACCTGACGTTCAGGACTGAGACTATTTAAATGCCCATGCTCTAAAAGTGGTCTTAAAATATTTGTAATATCCATGACTATATCTGGAGTTAGTCGGTACAGTTTCTGAAACTCGGTATCGTGCAAATCGAATGGATCGTGCACATCACGCCAATTGTACCTTTCAATTTGGCGTTCTAATCGTTTTGCTCTGTTATCTAGATAAATGAAATCCCAAGCAAGATATTCTTGTGCCATCCTGATTGCGAAACAGAAATAAGATTTGTACTTCAATTAAAATGTGTAAGCTTTAGAAAAAATACACCTTTCAAAAATATATATAGTCCCATATGATTATATAAAATTACATATAATTATATACAAATGTTGTCCATACATGGATACCATGTATAATCATATATGTTTACATGAAAACAAAATGATGTGATATACAGTGATGGGAAAAAGTTCCGGAACGGTGAAATATCTCGAAAACTAAGCATTTTAGAAAAAAATGTTTCAGATAAAAGTTGTGGCGTTTAAAAAGATGTATTTACTGATCACATCAGTTTGACCTTGGGTTGCGTAGCGAAGGTCAGGTCAAGGTCACATTAATTTTTTTAAATGGAACA